TTGAATGGTTTTTCCAATATATTTTGTCCATACCTTATTGTCCTTTCTTATGTTAGAAGGAAAAAGGGTATAAAGCCAACAAGGAATATTTTAATTGCCTAAATTAAGGTTCTTTTATTCACACCTTTCAAATTCTAAAAATTTGGGAAAATTAGTATTCAAAATGTTGTTGCTAGGTTTAAGTAATATTTTGATTCCTGAAATTTTTGTATTTGGTTTATTTTAGTTCTTGTATTATTAAAATATCAAATTTTGTTCTTGTATTTTCAATTTTTGTTTTTGTATTTTCAAAACGCCTATTTTGGGTACCGATATTTTAAAAGTAACTATTTTGATTTTTATCATATTTCTTTTTATTATAATTTTAACATGACTTCGAAATGTAGTAATAAATTTGTATTAAAGAATTTTCAATGTGTATAAAATTTGTGTTAAAATAAATATCAAATTGGTCAGTTTTTTAAAAAGTTGAAAGTACCAAAGACATTGTTTAATAGCTATTTTGTTTTCTTCAATCACAAATAAAAAATTGAATATTTAGTTACGATTAGAAAAAATTCCACCTTTATACATGGATCCCTTATTCCTTTAATTGGAAGCTAGAGATAAGAACGAGCGTTGTGAAAATATAGATATTAAAATAGTATTTAAATCTTGTTTTTAATAATGGTTAAAGAGATTTTTTTTCGATAATGGTGAAAGTGAAATTGTTACAATAACGACAGACTTGTTTTTCATATTTCTAGCAATCTTGTTATGCATTTTTCATGAGTATTTGTTGAAAATTATTCTTGTAATGGTTATTAGAGTTAATTTAAACAATAAAGTATGAGAAGTATATTAACCAACTAATTAATGATCAAATAATTAGTGTTTGAACACAAGAGTTGCCCAAAAACCCACTAAATAATCCCTCTTTCTTTCAAATTGGGAGTAAAATAATTTAAATGTTTAATGAATGGTTCATATCAACTGCAAAGGAAATTAGACTTGATTTTATTGTAGACAGTTAGAGAAATGAAAGAATACTTCCACCTCCAAGTTTACCTAAGACGTGACTCTCTTAGTTACGTTATCGAAATCGTACTTACGTGAACAATCTTTTATTCTAACTTATCTTTTTTATCTTTCAGTTGATCTTCGATCTTTCTTCCATACCATTCATGACTTAAAAATTTACTTCTAAAGACACAATTAGTTGGGATAACCACAGTATACATCACTTCAGCTTAAACACTACTTATCAAAATGTCTCACATATCTCATATTGCTCAATATCAATAACTTCACTATATTAAAAAGCGACCACGTCTTTTCATCTCGAGTCGAGATAGAATAGTCAATACTAATGCAAAACAACTCGAGAGAGAACACTTCTTTTTCATCAAGTCAGATTGAATCATCGATATAACACACCAAAAGACGAAAGAGGGAGGGACAAACTAGGTAACATATATATTTATCCATAAAAATAGGAAAAAGGGAAGCAATTTGAGGTTGAAGCCATACTTGTGACAGACTTTGAGAAGTGAGCACCACCAGATCCTTTTGCCCAATAATTCATTCAATAACTTTCCATCTTCTGCCCTTCACAAAGCTCAAAATTACAGCTTCTTCTTCTGCCCTTTTCATGGTGGAAATGGAAATGGAAATCAAAATTCTGATCTCCTTCTCAATTCCATGTTGCTCCCCATAGATCCAAACTCTCAACATTACCCTAAGAAAGATAAATCTCTCTCTCTCTCTCTCTCTCTCTCTCTCTCTCTCTCTCTCTCTCTCTCTCTAATACATTAATTTATATACCATTTATTGATTTGTTGCATCAATTTGAGGTTATAATATGATAAAAAGGCAAAGCTTTGAGTAATTTTGAATCAAAAAAGTTTCCAATCATATCGTTACCATCACATTCAGTTGGGGGAAAAAATAGTGATGAAAGTGCATAATTATGATTAATTAATGTAACAATGATGTTGTGTTAGCTTATCTTTAAAAGAAAACAGTTTCCATTGTCTCTTGTTTTTCACTTTCTTTTATGGGTTTGTTTGATTTCTTTAATATTATTCATATTGACAATTTGAGTGTAAGAAAATAATATACAAAACCCACTAATTAGTAAACAAATGAACAATGATCATTACAAAATCATTTTGCCAACTTGCATTTTCAAGGGCCAACCCAATCTCACTCCCAAATAAAAGTTTGATTCTTTAAGATCTAATCCCCATAATTAGATTGGTTATTAATTAATGATGGTGCCCATAATCCTTGATTTAGAGAGAGGAAAAGAAAGCCATTTTGCATCTTGATAACTTAAACTTGTGTAGATATGGTCGATGACGTTTTTGTTTATTGTTTTTTATTTTTCAATAAAAATAAATAGAACAACGTTTCTTGTTTTTGTCTTTTATTAAAAAAAAGAAACCAAACAGGTTTGATAACTATTTCTTATTTTATAGATTCTAAAATTTTAGATTAAAAAAATTAATATTTTATATGAAATTTAATTTTTCAAATTAAATATTCAAAAATTTTATATTATATTTATTATGCATTTTAAAATTAAAAACCAATAAAACAATTTACTATCTATGTTTTGAGGGAAAAAACAAGAACAATAAACAAGGAATTTGATTTTGTTATTTACAAAATGTCTAATACATGATTCTAAAAATGTTTCTTAAAAATGAGAAATAAGAAACAGTTACCAAACAGAAATGTTATCCTTGCACTTTACCGGGGAGCTGTCTTAGCAATGCATTTCTATGGATTCGAGATGGAATTTCTTGGTTTGTCCAAAGTTGCTTTAAAATGGAGTTTTTATTTCTTAAAAAAAATTATTTATTAAAGGTGATGCATATGAGCTCCATTAGCCTTAAATTAAACAACCTAATTATCACATTAATTATCTCACAGATATAATATATTAATCGGCATATTGGTAGGCATGAAGCATAATTATTATTGAATTAAATCCTAAGGGCAGTTTGGTATCTTCCTTAGTACACCATTTTTTTCATTACTCAAAAAGGTCATGCATTCTAAGATGCAATGAAATTTATAATTATTAAAATTTAATCTGAGGGTACTCTTCAAAATTATTTTTCTTTCACAAATTTTATGGGTCATATGATTAAGTTCTTGAATTCCAATTTCTTATGATAATTATATTTCATTGCTAATTTCTCATATAGTTGCCAGCTCGAAGGTTCAATTCATGCTCAACACGAGCAAGAAAAAAGGGTGGAAAAAATTCTTCCCTAATTATTATATAAGGAAACAAAAATATTTTAAATGTCGGATTTTGTACTTTGGTTTTTTTTAGTTTACGTGCATTCTTTGATTTTAGTCCATATATTCTTAAGTTTTGGTATCTACTTTTAAAAAGTGACAATTACAGTCCTTTCATTTCCATTTTCATCTATTTCTTTCAATCATAATTTTGACATAACAATTCACTCACTAAGTTTCTTGAAACTTAGCCATAAATCTATAATAAAAGATTTTTGTTGTTTATAAATTTTTTTGTTAAAATTTTACAAATATAAACTAAATGGATCGCATTTTAAAAGTAGGGCTAAAATGAAAAAAAGTTGAAAATACATTGATCAAAATAGTTATTTTGAAAGTACATATACCAAAATAAATCAGAGTAAAAAATACATAACTAATAATAATTCAACCAAAAAAAACTTACAATGCAACTTGAGAAATTGAAAGTGTGGGAAGCTGAAAGTGCAAAGACTGTAAAACGTGACTGCTAGAGTTAAATGATTAGTAATTAAAGATGAGTAATTGTAATTGAGGGGCACTACATATAAGTTATATAAACTTATTAACTTCCCTTTAAAAATAAATAAAGTCCCTTTGTTTTTCCATTTCTGTTACATACAGAAAATAAACCAAATACTTCCCCTATATAAACCCTACATTACATATTACATAATCCATTGCCAAACACAGAAACTTCCTTGCACAATCGTCCATCATCTACTCCTAAAATGGCATATCTTTCAAAGATCTTTGTTTTCACATCCCTTCTAGCTCTCGTCTTCTCATCTATGACGGAATGTAGGCCAAACCCAAGAGTAAGCCTAGCGACACGGCTGAAGCTAGAAGGTGAGGCATCAAATTGTTGGGGATCTTTGATTCAACTTCAGGCATGTACTTGTGAGATTATCACGTTCTTCCTTAATGGTGAAACTTACTTGGGTCCAAATTGTTGCCAAGCAATTGAGATAATCCAGCATGAGTGTTGGCCGACATTGCTCGGGTCATTGGGGTACACAGCAGAAGAAGGTAACATCCTTGAAGCCTATTGTGATACTGCAGTCAGCACTTTTAGATCATCGTTACCACTCACACCGCCACCATCAGCTGCTCGTAAAGGTCTTGCTCCTTGAGATGTAGTGATCTTTGACATAGCAAAATTGTGGGAATAGCTATTATAAGTTTATGCTTATTCGTGTCTTTAGGGTTCCAAGTGTGTGAGTCAAGTCTTACTATTCCACTAAATACTAAAAAGGCTACTTTATGCTTATTTTAACCTACTGTTACACAACGCTACAATATCATTATGTCTTATTTTCATCTAACAAGCTTGACTGCAATATGAATCATATATCTGAATGAATGAAATACAACAATAATGAAACAGATGCATTTTTCTTCCCATACCATTGCGGATCAAAGCCTTAAACCACAAGGAAGGCAGCACCACTTTTCGATTTGAAGAAGAACCCACTGCAGTGGGCTTGCGAGTTCTTGCTCCTCTATGGATGGAGGTGGAATTGGCAACTCTGGAGGTAAATGATGGTGAAATGCATCAACGGCTGCCACAACACCATCTTCACTTTGAATAAGTTCCGCTATTTCCATCGCCCGACATTTTACCTGAGTCGCTAGAATCATGTTAAGATCCAAAATGGTGCGTGTTGAAAAACCACATTAGTTTAAGATTGAGAAACAAATGAACGATACAACACGTTAATATTGCATTTAACGTTCGAATAGATGATCCCACCTCAGACTGGAGCATAAATCTAATAGCATTCGACAGATTCGCAGAATTTAGCTGAGATATTGGAATAGGTGCAGGTCCTAGGCCTTTCTGATGTATTCTCTCACCCCAGAAAAATTGATCTCCAAAGAATGGTACTATGGTTGTAGGGCACTGTATTTTAAATTCTAAAATCAGATATAAAAGACAGAGAGAAACAATCTCATAAAACATTTGCCCCATGACACATCAAACCTAGTTAAACTGAATCATCTCTTACCCCAGCTTTAAGTCCGGTGCTTGTGGTGCCAGCACCACCATGATGAACCTGCATTCAGATAATATAAATAGATGAATTATTTTGCAACAAGAAACGTATTTTTCAATAATTCCCTATCATAGTTAAGTTAGTAGCGTTAAGTGATGCTCCTAATCCTCCAAAATAATGTGTTTTGGTGGTGGTGTGTAGTAAAAGTTACAATAACACTGCACGACAAATGACGAAGGGCGAAGCTTAAGCCCTCAGAGTCTGCTTGTAAAAGATAATGTTTGAAAAATTAAGGCAGTACTCACCACAGCTAAACATTGAAGAAATAACCAATCATGGGGGTAATCTTGTACAAGGAGAACATTTTCAGGAACTTCTGTACCTGTAAGACATAATGCTATTAAAGGGAAAAAAACTTCCATTACCAAGATCATACAATATAGCTCTTTCTCTTACCCGTATCGCTACAATCCTCAAACTCATCGAAGTTTATGTTCCAAAGTAATGCTCTATTCATGTATGAGTCATGGTCATACAAGTCATCAAATATACTCCCTATTCCATTGTCATAGATGAAAGTACAGCTCTATGGCATGAGGATCTTGTCCACCATTAACAAGTTGCAATAGTTAAATTTAACATTTTAGTGAAGTTAACTACAAAATTTTAGTGAAGGTGATAACTTTACATTTTTTCCTTCAAAGTTTCTATTACTTCTATTAAGAATCCAGTCAGAGGGAGTTCTATTAATTGGAGGGAACATTCCCACCTCATAGAAATCACTTTGCAATAATTGAGATCCCACAACTCATACCATGTCAACTAAAATAAGATATTACAATGATATTGAGAAGTCAACTTTAAAATAAATAGGTTAAAATTGATTCATGGAATTTGTATGAACAGGAAAAAGCAGTCATTGGAAAGGGACAAGGGGAACTGAGGAAACATAATTCACAATTGAGGGAGACAATCAGGTGGAAAAGAAAAATATTATTTTACTATTGAAGTTGTTACAAGACCCAGAATAGTTATTTTCATTTGGATCGAGTAATGAAACAGGGGTGTGAGCCATCTTGTCTCCTCGTACTCAAGACCCATGGCATACCATCCTCCCCTTCCTTTACAATTCCCCTTTAAGGGCAGACACTACTATAAATGTCTATCATGACACTTAAGATTACTGGATTTATCCTCCATGAAAGCACGACAAAGAACACGTTAAGCCTGTTGTAAGAATAATTGTTTATGTTTGAAGAGGTGCAACAAGAAACATATTCTTGCTAGAGACGACAGATGAAACCAACCCCATCATTGACAAGTATCAAATCCATAGCTTGTCAAGTGGTATCTTAGATAGCCATATTTACTAAAAGTGAAAAGGTGTAGAATACAAAATTAGATTGATATGATTTTAAAATGCAAAAGAGAAGAATATACTTACAAGTGCCTAGGTTTCCCGAACCATGGTCAATTATTCCTCTTTGCCCTGTATCCTTTAGTGCCTCCAATATGATATCAGTTGTCCTTTTAGGCTCAGCAAGAGGCTGATAAAAAAAAAGTTCAATGACCTTTACACCAAAGGTTTCACAAACTCAAAAAACATTTATAAGAAAAGCCCATGGGCACATTGAATAACAATTAAGAAGGTCGATTGGAATATGTGGCAGGAGACGTTCGGTTGTTAATAACCAAGCAAATAAGCATTTACCGCACCATGATAATCAAGGATGTAAGCAAATAATCACATAACAATTGAAAGAAACACAACTTAAAGAAAGAAAGAGACAATTCTGAAATGAGTTTACGCATATAGACTTGAGTTTAAACCACTGAGTATTCAGCCACCTCGACTGATCACATCAAACTTCCTTGCTATATATGAAGCATCACGTATTAAAAAATCTTTAAAAGAAACATAATGTTTCACCTTTTAGGACTTCCCCTAATTATCAAAATCTCAACGTAACAATGAGCTATATAGCACTTGACCAAATTGTATTTTTGCAGTTTCTTGTTCTAGGATTGATGGATCTATGTTTAACGTAGTGTTTTTTTTTTTTTTAACTGTGAGTCGGAGTTTTTCTCCCCTATACTCAGAGTACCTGCACTCGCCCTAAGGCCCAGACCCAGGAGACATAAGGATTTTTAGTATTAAACTCGCCGGAAGGTTCGAACTTTAAACCTTTAAGACAATAGACCAATAGATCCCAAGCCCTTGCCAACTAGACTGTCCCTTGGGGGTATCTATGTTTACAATTGTTAAGTTGTGGAATTACTCCTTTGGAGGTATCTATGTTTAACATTGTTAAGTTGTGGAATTACTCCTTGCTGTACCAACAAAAGTATCGTTTACCATATAAATTTACATTTGAAATAAAATTGCAAAGTTATGTTTTATATGTTCATCGAAGAAGTTATTCATAGTTACCAATGCAGACAAAATACATACTAATCTTACAAAATCACAATCGTCGAGTCCACATTTTATTTATTCCCAATCAATAAAGAAGCAACAAAAATACAATCCGACGTTATCAAAGAGCAAGGTGCACTAAATGATACAGGGTTCTTGCTTGCCCAACCGTTAGATGCATAAAATACATCACCAAAGTGAAGTAGGGCGCACGAACTTAAAATAGGGAAGTTATACATTTTAACTAAAAAATAGGAATGCTTGATAACATAAAATAAAATAAATTGGTCATAAATAAGTTTATATCTAACAAAATTAATTTGACACCATGCATTTTCTAGAGGTAATGATAAACCTACTCCTTAAAAAAAATATTGCAAGAAAAATGGATTGCCTCGAAACAAATCCAGGACATTTGAGATTAGACCAAAAATGTATAAAATGCAACACATTTACTCTGGTTCGATCACCATACCATGCTCCCGAATCCTATGTATATGGGCTTTGTTCCTTTTTGCATCCACTGAATGACCACATCTTCAGGTTGATACTTGGATCCAAGATCCATGAAACAATAGCCAACAACATCAACTGAAGGTCCCCAATCTGCAAATAAGTTACACCAATTTGCCATATGCATAAAACATAATACATGTATCCACAAATTCCAAGAACAACAAACTAAGAATATAGGTAGTAAGCAGAGTTGGCAATGACAAATAACATGCTAAATTTCTAAACTAAAAGGTCCGCAAAAGTAGATGAAGTTTAATTTCTAAAACACGATATGAATGAAAGTCATAGGAACAGTGATCACTAAACTATCCTCATTTTTGTACAAGGAGGTAAAATTAGTGAATGAAGCAGTTAAAAAGCTGAAGCAGCAGATAGACTCCCCAAGTTTGAACTCTCCTTTAACTTCTCTTCTTTGGAAATTCTCAATTTCAAAAAAGGTAAAAGTTTTCCTTTGGACCCTAGCCAACCGAGCTGTAAATACAGCAGATAGACTCCAACGAAGATGTCCAAATTGGGGCTCTCTCTCCTTCTGTTTGTGTTCTTTGCAATGATAATGAGGATACCATGGATCACATTTTTCTTCACTGCCAGTTTGCTCTTCAAGGGTGGTTTTTTCTGCTGCAAATCTTCGGCTACTCCACTTGTTTGCCTCATAATATTGATGGGTGGTTGAATGAAGCTCTTCGGGGATGGCATTTTACAGGGAAAGCAAAAATACTATGGAATTGTGCAGCTAGAGCTCTTATTTGGAACCTTTGGATGGAAAGAAACAATAGAATCTTTGAAGATAAGTCTTCTTCTTTAGAAATTTTTTGTAACACGGTACAATTACACACTTTTTGGTGGTGTTATAGGCATAGAAAATTCTTTTGTAATTATAACCTCTCGTCGGTCATGCAAGATTGGAGTGCTTTGCTTCACTAGTTTTTGAGAGGGGGAGCTCTCTTCCCCCTGCCCTTAGGCTGTCTTTTGTCTCTATGCTTCTTCAATATATTAAGTTTCTTATCAAAAAATAAAAATAAAAATAAAAAGTGGAAGCAGCCATCAATTTGAATACCCCAATCAACTAATCCTTCCAAGCCAAGCTCTAATAGCATCTTTAGTAGCTTAGATCCAACTGGTAACTTGACTGGGTGATCACCTCTTTGATCATGTCTTGCTATAAATACCCCAGTCGAACTACTGGAACCCACTGCAATTTTGATTGGGCAGAGAGAAAGGAACCCCAATAGGGTCACATATGACTGAATCTAAGGTTTTCCTTCATAGCTCCTTTGTCCAGAGAGCCACAAAATTGTTCCAACAAACTTCAGCCATCAATCTGAGAAAAAAAAAAAACAATAAGGTTTTTCCTCTCTAGAGGTGGCAGACTTACTCTTGCACAATCCATGATCATAAGTCTCCCTCTCTATTTCTTCTCGGTCTTAAAGGCTCCCTTGAAGGCAGTGAACGAAATTGAGAAGATGACCTGCAATTTCTTTTGGAAAGGAGGAGGTACAAGTGGTCCGATTACTCACCTGGTGAGTTGGGGGAAGACCGCACCTTCGATGCGGAGGTCTCGGTATAGGGGCCTTACAACAGAAGAACAACAGTTTACTCCTCAAATGGCTGTGGAGATTCACCCAAGAAAGGAATGCGCTGTGGAGAAAGGTCATTGGTAGTATCTATGGTGAAGATCCTCTCGGGTGGAATTCTCTTCCCCCAAAAGGTTGTGCTAAAGGAAGACTTTGGTTCGACATCTTTAAAAATAGTTCGTTTTTCACCAAATTCCTTGAGTTCAAGATAAGCAAAGGAAGCCGGATCAAATTTTGGTTGGACACATGGATTGGGAATGAATCCTTACCGGAAATGTTTCCAACTATGTTCAGTCTTTCTAAAAAAAAAGAGGCAACAGTTCTGAAGTGTTGGAATGCTAACAAGAACGATTGGGATCTAGGTTTGCGTAGAGGCCTTTCTGATTGGGAGGTGGAAAGCTGGTTGGGGCTTATTCAAGCTATAGATGTGGTGAGATTGGGGAGGGAGAGGATCGGGTTTTATGGTCCCTTGGAGACAAGGGTCATTTCTCTACTCGCTCGGCTTTCGTGAAGATGGTGGATTGTAGACCCTCCTTAAGTTCTCCTCTCATCTCGGCTATATGGAAATTTAAGGTCCCAAAGAAGATCAAAGTTTTTCTTTGGTCTCTAGCTCATAGAAATAGAAGTCTTAACATCCATGAGAGGCTTTAGAGAAAATGCAAAAATTGGGTTTTATCCCCTTCGGTGTGCTCCTTTTGCCTGATGCATAGTGAAAGCTTGGATCATATGTTTATGCACTGTCCCTTTGCGACCAAAAGCTGGCTTTTCCTCTTGGATTCTTTCGATATTTCTATATGCTTTCCTAAAAATATTGAAGATTGGATGGACGAGGTTCTTTTTGGGTAGAACCTCCCTGAGAAGACCACTTTTGTTTGGAAATGTGCTTCAAGAGCTCTACTTTGGAATATTTGGCTTGAAAGAAATTCCCGAGTTTTCAAAGATAATTCCTCTACTATTGATAATTTTTGTAGGAATGTACAGCACACGGCCTCTTGGTGGTGTATCAATTATAGCAAATTCTTTTGTAACTACAACCTTTCCATGTTTATGCACAATTGGAAAGCGGTGGTTTAGTTTTTGGTGGGGTAACCTCTACCCCAGACTTTAGGCTGTACCTTTTTTGGTTTATCAATGCTAAGTTGTCTCTTATCTAAAAGAAAAGTTACTTTGCCAAAAGTCCAATTGATACTTTCTCTCGCAATGGCTTAGCCCGCGACCATCCATCAAATTGCTAACTTATCATCAATGCAGATTAAATTACTACCACGTCAGTGTTAGGTAAATGTCCTCCAAACCTCTCTTTTTCCCTAGATATCAATATCAAAGTTCATATTCCAATGCAATATATAATAATAAGTTGCCACTTATATATTAAAAGTAAAAGGCATAATAAACACACGCCAAAAAAAAGATCAATGAAAACAATTCTTGAAAATGTTATTTGAACCAGAAATTGTATTTTACCTTTTGGCTTTGGTACAACGTGGGGACTCCACATATAGGTCGTAGGTAAATGAGAAATTGATCTGCGATATGTACTAAAATATGAAATGGGAGCAAGCTTCAACTTCTTGCTCCTGAAGTCATTAATGCATCTCCTCCTTCCCCACCATATCAATAATTCCACAACGATAAAAGAAAGCTGGACAATAAATAATGGAGGGAGAACATTTTTGTTAGTGAAATCAGCTAAACAGTTGACACATGTAAAGAAGAATTTCCATGTACGAGAGAGTCTCCAAACGAAATTACATACCCAATGACCTGTATTTTGGGGTACACGTGCCAATGGATGAGGAAATTCATTTGTAGGCCTGCCTATCAACAAAAAGTGCAAGGTGTGACCTTAGAATTTTTGTCCATATTAATTTAATTGAGAAAATCAGGAATCAATAACCATAAATATACTTAAAGAACTACAGTTCCTTTTCCCTTGTTTAAACCTTCGGTCCATTCCTGACTTGACTTGATGCCTAACCCACGCAACTTTGAACAAATTCCTCACTGACTAACCTATCTAGTTAATTACATAGTCCAGGTTACTGCAGGGTAAAGTACGACTTACCCCACTGTCAGTCAACAAAAAACAAAATCATATTGAGGCGTGTGCAAAATAACAAATTGGGATTGTGTTTCAATGAACTATGAATGTAATCCAAATCGTTGAATAGAAGACAAAACTGAAAGCTATTTCGTCCAATGCTATTAAAGCTATCCTTTGGGAGATATGGATTGAGAAGAATAGAGACATCTTTAAAGAGAAGAATTGGGTTTCTCTGAGCTTTGGGATCTTGTTAGATACTCATCTTCTAGTTGGTGCATTCAGCAATGTATACAAACTTTTTTGCAATTATAGTATTTTTTTAATTCTTGTCGACTGCAGTGCCTTCTTGTAAGCTGTATGGCTGCTTGGTGGAGATTTATTATCTCTCTCATTTGTATTTGAGAGCTTTCATAAATGTGTTGGTTTCTTAATTCAAGGAAAATATGAGCATAATCCAAACCAGATACCCGATAATAAATCCTAATTGGAAGGTCATTGATCTTTATTTTCCACAAATTTAGAACTGATATCTTTATCCCAAAATGTGTAACAGAACTAGCAAGAACGGCGCACTATGGAAATTATAATGGAACTTACGTCCAAGGCATTGTAAAGAAGAAATGCAAAGGTACACGAAGAGCTTCAGCAACATCTGTATGTCCTGCAACTCAAATCAAATAAGCACAACGTCAAATTTGAAAACTATCCCTTCAACAGAGGTTCTGTTCTACCTATCAATTAGTAAATAGATAAATGGGCCAAATATTCAATTACAGACGCCATTGTGGGCTATTGGCTGCATATATAAGTGAATTATTGCTCTTTCCTTGTCTAACTTATTTTCTTAATCAACAAATGAAGATAACAGCTTGAAGTTAATAATTTAAAGCCATGAAATCGCAATATTAATTTTTTTTTTAAATAAAAAGTCGAGCTTTTATTGAGAAAAATGAAAAAAATACAAAGGGGCATACAAACAAAGAAAAAAAAAGCCCACAAAAGAGAGCCAAACTGAAAGAATATTATTGAAAGAGATGTTTCAACCATACCGTTTATAGCTCCTTTATCTAAACTTTCAGAGTGTCTCATTAAACTTGCATGCAAGATAAAAATGCATAGTTTTAAAAAAGAAACTAAGATGACACTAATTACCTTAAAATTTTTACCTATTTTCTTCCGTAACTTTTAAGGCATTAAGAAAATTTTTCAAATGGTTGATGAGCATCTGCCAGAAAACACACCCAAAGAATAACATTGAAGTGAGATGCTTCGCTCTAATTACAATCACTCACCATAAGCAGGAGGGTTTGCAATAATTGCCTGAGCCATAAAAGGCGTCCCAGTTTCTAGATCTGGTTCCGTGCAAGCGGGAAGTATGGACTCTATAACGACGTTTAGATGTTTCCTTCCTAAAGATATTTCTCCAGGTCCAGATGGAATGAAACCTTTATTTCTGGTCATATCTAAGATTATTCAAAATCATTAATGCAAGACAAGAAACTGAGCAAGAAAGAATAAAAAGATAGATAGTAAGAGAGCTCTAATATCAAACCATATTAGGCATAAATAGAGCAATATAAAAATATTAGCCATTCTTTTCCTTTAGAAAGAAACCCCGTGGGAATCACAAAGTTAATTGAAAATAAGTATATCATCAAAGCAATAGATGAGAGTATCAAAGTTAATAGAACATAAGAATATCATAGTGAAGCCATTGCTCAGCATCCTATTCCTGTAATTCCTCTCTCAACATCCATGTTTGAACAATACGACACCAAAGAGATAAAGAGAGTCAATTGGAAACATCATGATCCCAAGAAAAGCATAAGGTTTATCTCGGCTGGGGGTGAATACTCGAGACAACATCCGACCAAGACATCCTAGTGGATAAGAATCATTTGATCATCCATTACTTTGGTGTTCACTTGTTTCGGATTTATGTAGAAAGTTGTTGATCACGAATGAGTAAATCATGGTATCCAACTTAATGCAAAAAGGTAAGATCTAAACGTATTTGGCTGTTTGTTAAGCAAGTTCATGGATCATTGCATCTATTCAAAAGCTTTTGGATGGCGGTAGTCACAATCCCAATCTTGATGAACATTGCAGGACTAGAGGATTTCTTTTATGGAAGGAAAAAATAAAATAGCTTTTGGTCAATGAAAGGTTGTGAAACAGTAAATTTCAAATTGAAATTCTGATTAACCATAGTACAGTTTAAGAAGATGTGATCTAATATTTATCATGGCCGTTCTGTTAAAAAAAAACATCATATTTTATTTTGGATTTCATTTGATGAACTGAATAACGTTAAAATCACTGCCTTCTCACATAATTGGAGACATTCAAAAACATCAATAACCAATAGATTATTCAGAAGATGGTGATACAAATTAGTCAGCAAATGTACTTTATAGCAAGACCCTCATTGACTAAATCTACCGAGATTTTTCTTCTACATTTATTATATTTTTTTATTGACTATCTGATGAATTCAAGATTAAATCATTTAATTATCCCTGGTCCTAAAGGTCTCCAACTAGATAACAGGTAAAGGAGTGTGTAAAACATTAAACATGTAAAATTGAACCACAATGTTAGTATCCCCAAAGTCTTCCAGATTTAGGGCATCTTACATTCAGCCAAATCACGAGAATCACCACCAAGAGGATAAAAGTCAACAGCAGCAGACTTCACGAAGTTGCTGAAATTAGTATGAGTGGCAAGCCTAACATGATGCCCAAATTCCTGCAAGCAGACTCAGAGAATTATTGCTATGGAATCCCAACCACATTGATCTTTCACTAATAAAATAGTTAGTAATTTGATCTTGTAGTAATGGGAAATGGATTGAAAATGTATTCTATTTAACCCCTGCTATTGAACATTGATGAGATACAGACTCTAAATGTAGTGTTAGAGGTCAAATCTCAGCCAAACATATTTTTCCAATTAGAACTACTTACTATTGTAATAACTTCATAATGCTTGTCGGAAAAAAAAAATTATATATATATATATATATATATAGTGAAACAGAGAGATCATAAAAATAAAGTGCAGGTAGTGCAAACAAAAGGACTATTTCAAACATGCCTGAAGCTTCTTTGCAATGGCCAAGAAAGGCTGCACATCTCCTCTTGTTCCAACCACAAGTATTGCAATCTTCAGCCTTGGAATCAATTTGACGGAATCAGAAATGACACCATCAACTCTGACAGATGTCCCTTCCAAGGCAGGATGAAGCTTTAACAGTTCCGAAGCAGCAGGGGAATTTTTCTCTATATCAACTTCTACAGTCCCATCATGTTGTATCTTTACTAGATCTGCAATTAATTGCTTCTTCCAGCCAACAGATAATAGACATTGAGTCAAAAGCATATCTAAAAACCAGAGCAAAAAACATGGAACAAGAAGAAGAATAATAAAAGAGCAAAACTATCAGTTCTTCCCCTCAGAAACACTAAGTCACAAAGATAGGCCCAAGGATAAAGGCATCCTCCACCTAGGTAATTAAAAGGATCACAAGAATAAACCAAGAGGCATATGAAAGAAGTTACAGAGAAAAGTCTGGGCACATTTATCATTTGCACCATGCATAATGAACCAAACATATCAAGCGATATGCATGTGCTAAAATTTTTTAATGAGAACATGATATTCCAATAAGTACCCCTGCATTCCCTGACAATTCATCCAATTTTAGGTTTGGCCTCTGTGTACCTATCCACTCAGTCATGGATCTGAAAAGAGTAACTTCCTCCTCCCTTAGTAGATTTCTTCCACTGGTGATAGGTGCATTAACACACTGTTTCGAACTTCATTTACCAGAACCCAACCTTTGCCATAAGTGGGGATATTGAACACCCTGGCCTTAAAATATGAAGAAAATTGCTTCCCAATCAATCTAACCTCCAATTTCAAAAGTCTTGTTTATTCACATTATGGTTGATCATTATGCAGTCATTATAATATGATTGATGAGCACTGGAGTAACAATTTCCTCGGCTGTGAAGAAAATCCAGATTTTTTCCTTTTTTTTTTTTTTTTGTGGAGAGTTGAGTAACTGAGTAACTGACCTATCGTGTTTCCCTTTTATCACTGATATGATAATAGATTACTCTAATGTCCCTTTTACCCGTACACTGTAGTACTCTGCATTTCATGTTCTATTTCAACCATTTACAAATAAATAGTCTAAATTGCAAGAGAGTTACTGAAATAACAATGATGTAACATTTTTCTAACTTGAAATAGCAAAAGAAGATCTCAGACGTTCAAAGTAAGATCAAGATAGCTCTAAAAATTATGTTGACAAATGACAAATAACAAAGCAAGTTCTTGGATTGTAGTCACAATACATTGTTTAGTTCAAATTCTCAGCACAACATAGAGACTTGAACCATTTCATTTCGAAATTCAGTTACCATTGTCAGATGTCCTAGAATATAAATGTTAGTAGCAACAAAAATTGCAATGATTCATATTTCTGAAAATTTCAATAGATACATTAGAAAAAGCCGCCCGCACAACAAGTTACATAAATTGTTTGAATTATTGGATGACAGGTAAATATTTGTTCAAGTAATCCTCAATCCTCAAATAATCACTATTCACTATTATTAATTATATTGATTAATAAAACTGATGCATATATTTTTACACTAACATGAAGAATATTCAGATATTTTTAAAAAGCAAAGTGATGATAAATGAGATGAGTAATAAATACATCAAAAGAAGGTAGAATATATATAAATGAAAAAGATTGATAGAATGTTTAGTGATCAATTATCACCTAATGCATATTGTAGATCAGACTGATTGAAAGTTAATAGCTTAATATCAGTCAACATGTTGCCAAAGAACATTAAATCAGTGATGTCACTTGAAGTCTTGGACATGGATTAGGACTAGGACTAGGGCAGAGCTTAAATGTCGGTAACTTGCTGACAGAAAATCTTTACCCTCGTGTTGTTATAATGGTCATCAATTATCAAGGTCGACACCTGACGCTAGAGGCAATATAACAATAACATACTTGAAGGCATCAAATCTGAGGTCCACTGCAATTGAAGAGTTCTTAATGGCCTAAGATTTCAATTCAACCATACCCTAAGAATTACACATACAAGGAAGAAACTAATTTCATCAAAGAGTGATCAAGCAAGTCGCATCAATTATGTACTGAACTTAAAGAGTAAAATTGTCAAAGTTTCATGAACTGAATGCAGGAACAACAAAATCTCGAATCAAAGAAATCCCAAATTTTTGACGTTTCGATACCCAATGTGATTAGTCTCAGTATTCAAAATATATGCAACTATAAAGAAGAGTAGAACTTGAGATTTCTGTAGACTAACCTCTTCGGGGTGAGGAACTAACATTCTTGGCTGCTATCTACATCTGCCAAATTTTCAGAAGTATGGTGAATGCAAGTATCCCTGATTCCATTCAGGGAACAAAAGCACCATGTAATCAACAAAAATAATTACAAGAGTCCACGACACCTAATTGTGTCAATGTCGAGCTCCAGTATAGCGCACAGTTAAGCATACCCCAAAGAGAAGAAACCCACAATCCCAGAATTCTCAAGCAACATTACCAAATTCCCAAGTCTGCAAATTAAGCACGCCTTGAGCTGAAAACGAAAAAGAATATTGTCGATACTTCACAGCAAGAGCAGGCAAAAACCTCGTTCAAAGGCACACGGAAGTTCAAAATGCATCTGAATGGTGCAATTTTGAAACTAACCCGCCAATGTTGGCAATCTAAAATACGGAAAAGAAAATTAACCGCCAATCAAGAGCTCCAGAACAAACGAAAAGCCTGAAACATCAACATCCAGAGAAACTCAACTCCAAGAGGCAGCACTGGGAAAGGGATTAAGCACAGAAATCGGCATCATGCAAGTCAAAGATGCTGGTGGAATGTAAGAACTCTTCTCGTTCCTCACTCCGCTGATTAAACAGATGACAGAAACAGAAATTGAAGAATAATCTGTGTCTCTCGGTCTCCGACAGCGAGCGACTCAGAAAGCAACCAAAAAATTAACAATTAAGCTTCGAAATGAATCACGTGAATCATGATAATAGATCATCTACCAATCATGCAGCAGCAGCAGCAGGAGATTGAATGCCAGCTAATTGAATCGGAACTGGATGATAATTTTCCATCGTAATGGAATGAGTTGGCCTCATTATTGCATGATTAACTTATGCGTTTAATCATGCTCTCAATTGGACTTTTAAAATGGTGTCAATATTTAATCTTATAATTTGAGACTTCAACTTTTAATTTTGTATTTCTTTTGGTTGGTAACTAAACTACATCGGTAAATAATTTTAAAAATTAACCTTGAAACTAATTTGATCTTTTAACGGATTTATTAATTTAAGTATAGAGCGAATAAAACACTTATTATTATATGGATGGTCAAATATACCATTTTTATAATGGTTGAACTAATATATACATATTAACAAATTTTATTGTACATTTGTCACCACTTACATTATTTTCTATGAATGAGCCACAAATAGGAAAGTGATGCCTTATCATCACTTACATAATTTCTTATAAACAGAACTACGAAATAGGAAAACGACCTTTTGTTCTCACTTACATGATTTCCTATGAATGACCCACGAAATAAGAAAATACATCTTACGAATACCACATGTAATTATCCATTTTTTTATGCATTTTTTAACCATGCTTGTGTAGCTTAGTGATTAGGATCTCTCTCACATCCATATATCTATCTAGTCATCTATTTAGATCCAAGATGAGTGGGGTGGGATCAAAATTTAGGTTTTTTTTTTCCAGGAAATCTTAGATGTCTTGTTTATCTACTAACATATGTTAGAAATTCTGATTAGTGTGGTATGTTTATTGTAAGTCATACCATTATTTTTATTTACTAATCTAAGCTTAGCTTAAATGGACAAGACATCGATGGTTGCCTCCCCTGCCTCTACAGTTTTGAAGAAAAAAACCATCATTTTTGTCTCCAAATAATTGAAAAAGAAAATTAAATAAACAAACAATTTTTTATCGGACAAAACTGGTCTATTGTCCCTCTTGCCCACCGCTAATATTTTCACGGATGGGAGCCCAACACTTATTTTGGTACATGGGAAAGCGGGACAGGGAGAAAAAAAAACGAACAAACTTCTCTTTTTACCATATATTTATCATTATTAAATATTAGGGATGATCGTAAATATAACAAAAATATTTAGTAAATAGTAACCACATTTAATTTTTTTTAAAATATAAAATTCTTTTAAAAGAAAAAATAGATGTCAAATTTTAAAATGACAACTTTATCCAAATGATATATTTGTGTAATATATCTTACTACTTATATATGTATGTTATATACATTTGATATACTACTAAGTTGAGTGTCTGATATACTTGTAATATGTATCTAATATACATTTGATATATTATTGATATAAGTATCTGTGCAATATATGTAATATATATCTAATATACTACTAATAAAGTATTTGATATACTATTGATATAAGTGAAAATTTTTGTTATATTTGAAAATTTTAAAAACATGTGATAAAAGATTTTTGCTATCTTTTAAATAAGAAAGATAAATATAAAAAATAGAGAATTGTTTTAAAAAATAATTAGATGTCAAACATTAATAAATAGATATAAATCATGATCAATATCGGCTTTATTTTTCTTTTAGATTTATGAGAGATAGAACTACAAAACTATCTCGAATTTATAAAAAAATAAAAAAAAGAAAAAGAAATTCTAATTATCGAAAAGAGAGGCCAGAGAAATCACATTGTGGCGGTAATTTTGAATTTGTCACTTTCCTGCGGCGACTGTATGCAAGTTTTGTCCTTGTTTATTTTCCCTCTCCCGCTGCGGCCGTTATTAGAACCACTTTTTTTTTTTTTTTGACAAATAAAAAGCACGTAATTAAATTAAAATTAATAATTAAGGATGCGATTTCATCTGGATCTGGTTAATCACCAGCCCTCTGGCTCTGTTAATCGTCACAATGCACAAATACAGGTGTTCTTCAACCTCTTCAACTTGATTTCTCAGCCTCAGATTGCTCTTCTTCAGCTCATCCATGGCTACCTGAACTGCAAATTTATCCTCCTTCCTTTCCACAAACAATCGCGCCATCGCCTTGCCGTGATCCATGGCGTCGTCCAGTCGCGCCACGAGTCGGCTCGTCGTGTCGAACTCTCTGTTCAGTATGTAACTTCCCTTCGCTGCCGCCTCCAGTTGTTCGCCTACTTCGCCGAGGCCGCCATTTCTAATCATCTGATATCTGAGAAGCTTTCTGCGGAAGGATTCCGGGGGGAATCGGAATAGTTCTGTGAGAGTGCGAGCTGTAATGGCGACCAATCCACACGAAATCGTCTCGATAATTTCGATCGATTTGATCTTTCTGGCTACCTTCTTCCTCGTGCAGTTCAGGCGACGCGAAACTGCCTCGTAATCGTCGTGGATCAGCGCGAAATCGTGTTTGTCAGGATCGGAAAATGGCTCCCGCAGCGCGAGAAATTCAGAGGCGATTGTTTCTATTGTCTCCGGAGAAGAGCAATTCTCGATCGAATCGAGCGATTTTTGGATGGAGCGGGAGTTAGATCTGGTTAATTCGACGTCCTCAAGGAGACGAGTGCAGAATTTTGAAGCCTCCGCACTGACATTGAAGTAATCGATTAAGAGGCTTTTAAGATCGGGCAACATCAGAAGAAATGGCGATTCAAGAATTGAAGGAATGGCTTCTTGACTAGGCTCGAGCAAAATCGTTCCCGATAATTTGCGGCGACGGCGGCGGCCGGTGGAGGAGGATGTAGACGGCGGCGATGATTCTTCGATGACCGATTGAGCTTTTATGAAGAATTCAACGTAGGATTTGGTCCTCAGAGCACAAATATACTCGTCGTTTACATTGAAGCTTTTCTGCGGCTTGTTTCTGATTTGCTGCTTCGCATCTGCAAAAGCTGAAATCAAAACGGGTTGAGAAAAATTAAGCAACTGTGCAGCTGAGCAAGCAAAGATCGATGAAGAAATATGGGTACTATTTCTGATTTTCAAATCCCTAATTTTCGGCCACATCGAATCTTTGAGTTGGAAGAAGAGCCAACAATTTTTGGTGAGAAATTATTATTTAGTACCCAAAATTGAGACCTGTTTATATACCATCAACAACGGAAAATCAACCTTGCAAGAAACAATAATGAAGCATTGAGCTTCCAATTATATTATGAATCTTTTGTTAACAGAACTGCTTTCTCTCTACGTTTATAACTGCATGGGTTGCTAAATTACGAATTTGGTCTCCCGTCATTTTAAAAGTTTCGATTCAGTCTCTGTTAGACAGCTTGTACTACGCTTTAAAGGCTAAAGTTTTAATTTGTTTTTTTATAGTTTAGTCAATATTTTAATTTGTCTCATCAACCTATGAGTATAAGTAAGCAGTAAAGATATCTATTTTTTCTGAGTTTAAAAGTTAAAATATCCCCACCCCATATTTAGATGTACTAAAAAATACTTAAAATCGTCCCAAACAACGTTCTTTTACCTACTCCAAAAATTCGCCTATTTTCTCACCTTTTTGCTGGGCCTAAACTCTTATGTGGTCAACTAAACATAATTTTTTGAGAAGGTCTAATTAACATAATCAATGCCGACATGAGCAGTTAAGACATCTTGTTCTAAGTTGGAGGTTCAATCCTGCGTTCCCCACATTTGTTGTAAGTAAAAGAAAAAAAAAACTAACATAATCAACTCGATAGAAAATATCAATTCCATTGCTCATAGTTTAAAAATGTGTCATGGATTTAATTAACTCATAATAGTCAAATTGAAACTTTTACGACTCCGAGACAATTTAAACATTTAAAATATAGGGGCAAATTTGTAATTCTACTCTTGTTTATTTTGAATCTAAAGCTTGCACCCTTTATTGTGATCCCTTTTAAGTCTAAGTTCCTATGATTTAACTTTTGAGCTCTATCCCAAGAGTTCTTAGAATTATGAAGGTAGACATCGTGTATGTACTTGTACGCTTGAGATCGTCCTAATTTCCAATCGATGTGACAGTATGTCACGAGACGTAATACCAACATTTGTAGTCTCTTTTTTCTTTACAAGACTTTTATTTAACCTTCAATTGTAATACGATTCTTTAAGATAAACAAAACTACATTATCATAATACAAGTTTGACTTCTTATCGTCTAATTATAAAAAACTAGCTCGTAAACCAAAAATTTGGAGACCCATCTGGGAGTTGAATGTTTAGTACGCCATCGTTTCCGACCTCATCTCTCTCTAGCCAACTCCCGAGAGAGAGAGAGAGAGAGAGAGTTGCTTCTTCAATTTGATTGGAAGCAAAATATATGCCAAATTTTGCCTAAGAATACTCCTGTTTTTGGGGTGTTGATTGATTTACTGCATCAGTTGGATTCTTCTTTGTATTTTTGTGGTCATATGTTTTGTCCTTATTATGTTGCATGACTTTGTAATCTTCATCCTTAGAAACAGGAAAAAAATAAAATAAAATACCACACTTTGATTCCATATGTCAAGTTTAGATTCCCATCCCTATATTTACCTCTAATACTTTTATCGAGGGTAAATTATATAGAAGGTAATAATAATTATGGGACAAATTACCAAACCGTTAAAATAAACTTTTGAAATAATATAAGTATAATTAAAATCAACCTTATAGTTAAGTTAAGATCGAAAATGCATAACATAAATGTTAATATAATAATAATTTGAATACATATCTAAGCGAGCATAGCTTAGAGATAATTGTACTAAAAAGAATGAAATAATAATTTGAATACATTAATAATAACAGTGATATTTTTTGATTAAGTTAAAATGGAGGACAAAATTTTTATTGGTTGATCCAACATTTAACTCATTGATTATAATTGTAGCAACATTAACATAGGGCTAAAGACAATTACTCTTTGTCGAGATTACTCGACTAAAAAAATTATAATTGCCAACTAACTTAGAGCATATTTTAGCGTTTAAGACATTTACTCATTCTTTTAAGATCGGAGATTTAAAATCCCCACCCAACATCTGTTGTATTAATTAAAAACAAAATGTTCCTTTGACTATATTTAATGTTGTTTATTTTATAATCATAATATTTTAAATTTGTTTAGAATAATTAGCTTCTTTTATCTCATTTTGGAGAATAATAAAATTCTTTAAAGAAAAAAAAAAGCTACGAAGTGAAACTAAATTAAAAGGACATTACGCATAATTAAGTAAAACGCTTTTTTTTTTTCTAATCCAAGCTTACTTTTGGAGAAATTCATAAACCACAAACCATACTCAAACATCCTTACAACACCTTTTTTTTTAAAGGACAACAACCTTACATCCCCTAACCAAATTTCATTAATCAATATATTACTTTCCGGGTCATTAAATATTGAACGCTCATGTGCTATTGTGTTCAAAGGGTTAAGACGCCTATATTCAACTAAAAGATCGTGAATTCGATTTTCTCATCCTACATGTTGTAATAAAAGAAACATTTGAACGCCCATAGTAAAAAAAATATATATCTTTTTAGTACAACACGTGAGGTAGAAATATATATTCGAACTCACAATTTTTTTTATCGAAGATATATATCTTAACCAGTTTATAAGTTAAGCTAAAGTTGGCCCAGGTTGAAAATATTGAACTAACACAATCATTTATAATAAGGAGATATCAAAATTAATCAACAAATCAAAGATTTTATATATCAAAGGAAAAACAAATTAAAAAATATATAAAAAAGACAAAGAATTATACATCATGATGAAAAGATTTGAGTTTTTTTTTCCTTTTCTTTTCTGTTGAACTCAAAATGGAAATGATCATATAAGCATTAGGTTTCCATAATAATATTAGTTATGTAATAAATAAATGATTTGTCATCAATATTTTTATTCATCATCTTTATTAAGCAATAACCCTTCTTTTAGACATATGGAATTTGATTACTTCTACTCCTTTTTTCAATTGTGGAATTTAGGAAGCAATAAAGTGTGTGGTTTGGATGTGTTATATTATGTTAGGAAGGTTTCAAGGCTTTGCAAGTTGGCCTAAAAGCAAAGATGTACAAGCCATAAATAAGAGTTTTTATTTTTTATTTTAAATAAAGCTATATTTGACGTAATTAGATGATATAAACTTCATCAAAACTCGATATATCAAAAAAGAAAAGTATCGAAGAACGGATGAAAATCAAACTGAGATGTTATTGGTCGTAAAAATTGAGAGTACGTATACTTGTCCTCATTTTTAACGAAAATGAAATCTTCATTAAATTATTTGAGGGCAAAGGATCAAAACTATATTACTCTCGAATGAGAGGAAGGAGAGAAAGACATTCTTCAATGTCAAGATAATAATCAAAATCTCACAAAAAAAAAATTAAATCAATACGAGGAAGGAAATAGTTTCTTTGAATTTTGTGACAACAATACGGAGATAAAAAAGTACTCTATTTGACGATCAAACTTTTTTTTAATCAAAATTTTAACTATTAAATATGTCAACAATTTATTATTAAAAATAGTTATATGAGAGTTTTGTTGCAATTGACTAAGATATTAATTAATTACTTTTTGGAAATTTGAATTCTTAAACCCACGAAACTAGTTAGTAATAATAACTTTTCTATATGTCTTTTTATAAAATATTTGTTTATTTTCTGATAGATCCCAAACTTAATATATATATAAATAAGCAAATTGAAGGGATGATATTGAAATAGAGAAAAAAAAATTAAGTTTTGAAAATCAGCAAACAAATCAATCCGGCAGAAGAAAGAAAATCCAGAATGGTATTGAAATGGAGAAAAAAAAAAGAAATGAAATAAAATGGGACGAATATTACTTGTAAGAAATATTTTGTAATAAATTGAATTATTTAGTAAAATATATAGGTTGATCCAAATAGGTTCAAACATTTACTAGTATAATATTATACATAAATTTAGGAGTTCAAAAAAGTTAACTAAACACGTTAAAAATCTAGAGTCAACATAAACTTAGTTTGACGGTAATTGTGTTAGAATCCTCCACCTCACTTCTTGTACCGAGAAAAATCTAGAATTTATTAAATACTCTGTATAATTAATACATAGACTAAGTTAAATGAATACAACAAACTTATAATTTGCCAAAGCGAACACAGTGGTTGTATTAAAAGAAAAACAACAAACTTATAATTTAACATATAATATAATTATAAATTAAAGTCTTGGTTTGGTCACAGCCATCAATGCCGGCCGTAGGTCTACAATTCCCCTAACCAACGCCTCTAGAAACTTCCCGAACCTCGTCAATAATTAAAAAATAAATTTAAAAAAATCTAAATAGTAAATAAGATTCCCCATCCACCGGCAACCGGCCAATCCCCGTTCACCCGGCCCTCCCCTCACGCGCTCTCACTCGCCGTCCTCCTCAACTCTCTGAAGCTCCGAAGGCCAAAAACCTCGCCGCTCTCGAATCGCAAGGGAGAGAGCCAGAGAGCGAACCTTTTTTTTTTTTGTTTTCTCTCTTTTCAATTTTCTTTTGTGTTAGTAGAAAGATTTGTACTGAGTTTAGAGAGAATCTCTGCGAAATCGTTGCCAATTTTGACGAAGATAATGGCATCGTCGAAGCTGTTGGCATCTTCGAATTCGAGAAATTCGGATCTATCCCGGGGTTCTTCTTCTTCTTCTTCATCGTCTTCTTCTCTTTTAAAGGGTCAATTTCTCTCCAATCGTGCCCGGAATAATGACAGAGGAACTCTCAGTCTTAGCTCAATGACCGTCGATGGCCTACTTCGCAATGGCTATGACTCCAATCCCACGGAGTCCATTCTCTTAGATGCCCAGATCACGCTCGTTGATTCCCCCAACCCTTCTTCCTTTCCCATGAATGCCACCGCCACCAATTCCTCAGCCGTCATTGATACCAATCACACTGCTTCATCTGCTGCCCCCAAAACTGTGGATGATGTGTGGAGGGAGATTGTATCTGGTGAGAGAAAGGAGTTGAAGGAGGAGGTCGCGGACGAGTTGATAACACTGGAGGATTTCCTTGTTAAGACTGGAGCTGTTCCTGTTGAGGACGTGAAGTTACCTCAGACAGAGAGGCTGAGTGGAGGGATTTATAGTTTTGATCCAATTCCACCCACCCAATTCCAGGCATTGGATAAGGTCGAAGGATCCATAATCGGATTTGGAAGTGGGGTCGATTTGATTGGCAGTGGAGGCAGTGGAGGGAGAGGGAAGAGAGGGCGAGCTGCTTTGGAACCTTTAGATAAGGCCGCTGAGCAAAGGCAGAGGAGAATGATCAAGAATAGGGAATCCGCGGCAAGATCTAGGGAACGGAAGCAGGTGATCGGTGCTCTTTATCAGCAGCTTTCATTTCCCATTACTTATTTGATTGTATATTTTGGTGTGGCATGGTGTTGATAGTGCACTTTTACTTTTTGGCTTTCGGATCCCAGGCTTATCAAGTGGAATTAGAATCGTTAGCTGTAAGATTAGAGGAGGAGAATGAGCGGCTTTTGAGGGAAAAGGTACTCCTTTCCTTCGACATTCATACATTTGGGAACATCTTTTCAATTTTCTATTCCACTGGATTTGGGATCTATTTGTTATTCCTTGCATTCAGAATTTATAAAGTCATGGAGAACCCTCAAAGTGGGATTCGAAGGCAGGATGTGTCAGAGACTGATTTTCTTCTTATGCAAGCCATGAACTATAATACATTACTTTGATCCAGACCTTATAATATTATGGAGCCTTTTCTTTTGTCCCTTCATTTGGTCCCTTTTTTTTCCTGCATTAACCTTAGACTTCATACCTCCCCAAAGTCTCTCTTCATTGACCCCATTCTAATTCCCTGATTTTAGTTCCCTACAAACTAGTAAATATTTTGAGTACATTGGGCAGGATGAGTTTTCAATTCCATTGTGTTGTTGAATCAAATAATTCACCATCGTTCCTGACAAAACTTTTTGAGTGATTGTTGTTGCCTTGTGCGTCTTCAACTTGAATAAACTTGATCTAACTATTAGTTGTTATCTCTTGGAACATGCTGAAGAATTCTTTGTTCGATTGGGCTACATCAATTTTTTTCTTTTGTTATTATTTTATATATTTCTTAGATTTTTAGCCATATCTTGACTGCAATTCATACTGAATAATCATTTGTCTTATTCGAACCAGTTAGGATCATATTTGATCAAAATTATTTTTTGGAGTACAGAGCATTTTTAGTTTGGTGTGTGCTTAGAATTCTTGATTTAACATTCGAAAAAAGAGCTTAGATTTCTTGATACAAAGAGACTGCAGGGCACTGTTATTAAATTGGCCTTTTGATGATCTAGAGCTTAGAACTGTTGTTAACATCAATGTAGGATTATAATTTCATTGAGATTTTGGACAATCAAATATTGTTGGACTAAGTGGTCCTTAATTTTGAACCCTTATCCATGGAACAATTAAAAATGTAGATATTTCTGGTTATAGAAGAGTTTTGAAGCACGCAAGTTATATTTTACTAGACAAAATACTTATCATCTAATATGAGCGGAGTGGAGTCAAATGTAGTTTGGTATAATTTTTGGAAAATAACAAAATACTCTTATATGGGTGTGTGTCAGAATAATGGTGTGAATCCAAATTTTTACTATTTTAAAAAAGAATAGTGAATATATATATATATATCCTATAATAGGTGCTGTTATTTCAAAGATCTAGAAGACTTGAAATAATCATTTTTTGAGTGGAGACTGGAGAGACTCAGACGAGGGGATCCTATGTAGAATTTTGCGCTGATTAGGTTTGTGTATGCTAGGGTTGGGAAGTTTGAATTTGCATATCTGTGTTTAGATTATTCAAATGAAGGGTTACATAAACTTTTGGTTTATATAACATGCCTTTGGTTTTTAGATTTGTGTTCTGTATGTTTAATCCATATGAGTTTCAAAAAAGTTTGGATACGTGTAATCTAGACTAATAAACTTAGGGACAGTTGCAAATATGGTAAAAACATTTAGTAATATTAGCAAAATAGCATACCACATTTATCCTTTTCAAATATAGCACTTTTTTAGAAAGAAAAACGAAGGTCCAATTTTAAAATGACAATTTTATCCAAAAGATATACATCTGTAATATATCTTACTATTAATATGTGTATGTGATATACATTTGATATACTACTGATATGAGTGTTTGATATACTTGCAATATGTATGTGATATACATATGATATACTACTGATATGAATGTTTGATATACTTACAATATGCATGTGATATATATCTAATATACTACTGATAGTGTATGTATCATATGTATGTGATATACATCCAATATACTTCTGATATGAGTGTCGGTTATACAATTGATTTACTAATGATGCGAGTATCTGATGTACTATTGATATAAGTGAAAATTTTGCTATATTTGAAAATTTAAAAAATAAGTGACATTTTGAAATACTTAAAAGATTTTTGCTGTCCACTACAATTTCCAATAAACTTACCTACCAAATATAGGTTTAACTTAGGGTATATATACCCAACTTGTGAGTCAAGTGCCACCTAAAGACTTCTATGACTAATTATTTATTTTGGGTTTCAAATTTCTTTTTTCTTAGCTTTGGGTTTAACTTTTAACTGCTACCTCCTTTGTTTTTCATATTATTTTCATGGTTCTGTGCATAGTAGTTGCAGACCTATAATATCTTGAAACTATGTAAACAAAACATTGTTGTCTGTTAGCAGTTTTATTAAATTATAGCATCTAAAAGTTTTTTCTCTTTTGCAGGCTGAGAGGACCAAGGAAAGGTTTAAGCAGGTATTGATTTCAAATTTTGATTCTAGTAATTATAATGTGTTGAAGGAGATTTTGCTCTGAGCATTATTTTTCAACTCTTTGTGCTATCTTTCTTGTTTTCTTTAAAAAAAAAAAAGGACTAGCAGTATGAAATTCTTTTGAAAGCAATACTGACAGATAGTTATATTGAATGTTATTTTTCCATCTTGATGAGAAATCTTTCATTAGGATTTGAATTTTATCAATCTTATTGAAGTAATCTTTGCTGCCACTGATGGCAGTCATTAAATGAAGTTCATCAAATATCGACTTATTGAGTATTTGATTGCATTAGATGTTACAAGTAGTCAAGAATTTTAAATGGATAATCTCTATCATCTAGCCTTTTTTTTATTTTAATCTCCCTTACAAAGAACTTGACAATACATTCTAGAACAACTAGTTTTAGAAAGAAACAATATAGTTTGTAAGTAGTGACTTTCCCCTAAAAGAAAGGAAACAGTTCAA